CTCTGGTTTATGTGGCCCTTTCTGTCTCTTGGGTTAATACTTTCCTTGTGTCTTTGGTGTTCTTCATTCTCCTTTACTCCAGGTGGTTGGGACCAACTGATGCATTTTAGATGGCCACTTGCAAGCTTTTATAGTCTTCCGTTTTAAAGCCCTTTCTTTTCTTTAAAATGGGAAAAACAAATGTCTACGTTTGAAAATTCTGGAGTTACTTCACAATTTGTTGTAAGTAAGCAGTGTTCCCTTCTGACTCTTCAGTACTGTTATTTGGAGAAACATGTATCTGAGGGTCCTTGGGAACAGGTATCCTTTTATTGATTGTTAACAGATAAATCGAATGTTTGGCTTCTTGCCTATGTAAGCAAACGTAAGGAGGATGGATACAGATAGATGAGGAAATAGACATGGGGCCAGTTGCAAAATAGTAAATTCGAAGTTCCAAATGAGACTCATTCACTGACATAAAAATGGGAACATATTTAAGTTTCTACATACTGGATTACTATATAAAACTGGATACTTCTGCTTTATTGGAAGGTTGTTTAAAGTAAACCCATAAACTCTTTAAAGTGACATATATGAAGTTTGTAGATAAACATGTATGTTTCAACTGGAGAAAAGCAGAGTCCTCCTAGAAGAAATTCTGTGGAAATAGTTTCCTAATGTTATCCTTATTGTTAGCTCCCAGGGTAGCTCTAAGCAAAGATGCCTTGCCCGTCTGTATGTCTTGCAAAAAGTTAAAGCAGAACAAACAGGATTTCACAGTAAAACCTCTTTAATTCCATTTGTAAATTCAATTTGCAAGCATTTCCACATCAGACACATGAATCTGATAAATAGGAAGTTTAAAACAATGATCTGCCACAATTTTTTAAATTTTATAAATGAATAAAGGGGAAAAAAAACCTAAAATGAGTAAAAGGTTCAATCTAAGGCTTGAACAGTTGAGAAGTATGTCCATTTGCCTTAATTTTTGTGTCAGAGTATTTATTGCTCTGTGTGAAAGGGACTTTTAGATTAGAATTACTTATGATTATTGGAGGATGCAGTGGTTTTTCATGAAATTCATCTTGCTGAGTTCCAGCTCTTTGCACTTTCTTTGGCCCATCTCTGTTCAGTTTCTGAGTCTTGCCTTGTGTTCCTTTTAGTCCTCAGAGCAGAATTTTCCTTCTCTCTCCCATCTCTTCTTTTGGCCTTCCCGGCCTTGCCATTTACTTTACCACCCCTTCTTTGATCTTTTCTATTGTTTTCTTCCTTTATTACCTCTGTTACTGGTTTGGGCTGGAGGGTGACCAACGGGCCAGAGCCACAGGTTGTCTCTTTTGAGTGTGGCCCAGTCTCGTAAGGATGAGCCTGATTATTTTCATTGTCTACTTGCTACATCAGTACCATCTTAGCCTCACTTGCCCTTGAGCCCATGAGTAGGCCACCTATGGATTGTAACTTCTTTTTTCTCTTATCTATTTCAAAATTAGCTTGTAATATTATTTGAAATGAGGAAATTTCTATTTTAAGAATATATATATGCTATGTCATATTTTTGGAAACCCTGGTGGTGTAGTGGTTAAGAGCTATGGCTGCTAACCAAAAGGTTGGGAGTTCGAATCCACCAGGCGCTCCTTGGAAATTCTATGGGAGCGGTTCTACTCTGTCCTATAGGGTCACTATGAGTCGGAGTCGACTTGATGGCAATAGGTGTTTAATGGGTTTTATGTCATATTTTTACTGGCTACCCCACCCCTTGTTGTTAGTTACCGTCAAGTTGATTTTGACTCCTGGAAACCCCCAGTAATCCTATCTGATTTTACTGAGCATATTTTTGAGGAAAGGAAGCAGTATGCAGTAGGTTTGAAAGGTGGGCCGTATTCAGTCCTGTGTAGGCTCACGTTGGCCTTTGTGTCCTCGTGTCCTAGAGCAAAGGCATTTGCATTGCACAAGTCTGTTCACGTTTTATGATGATCTCGCAGTGTCATTCAGGGACAGAAGCACTGAATGAATCAGAAAAAAGAGGGCTAAGTGCCCTTGCCATGGGTGATTGCTTCTCTCGGAAGCACATGTGAAAGTCCCCCTTCCTACAAATGGATTCGGTGGTTATACTTTTCTTTGTATTCTAGACTTACCTGCCTTCAAAAGATGAAAAAGTAAAGGTACAATTTTAGAGTGGTGTCTCTCAAACTCTCTGTGGTGAAAGTAAGGTCCCTATTCTTCTATAAAATGCAGTTAAAATCAATTTCTAGAAAATGGAATGAAAAACAAAGACACACAAAATACAATCCACCATCTTTTTATTATTACTGGATTCAACCGACATAAGTTTAGTTTGTCCAATTGCCGTACAAGTTTCTAAATTTTACCCTCAGTATCTGTGTTGTCATGTCACAGCCCAGGAACAGCTTGCAGACCAGCACTGGCTGGAGGCCACACTTTGACAGCCTTGATTTAGGGTACTCCTACACATACCAAAAGATCTGAAGTGCTATTTTCAAACAGCAACTCAGTCAATGTTTTTGGGTCATTACTCTAGGTGAATTTAGAAAATCCTGAAGGTAGGAGGAAAAAAGAAACAAGATACCTATTTAAAATGAACTGCAGTCTAAATGTAGAGAATAAACCCTTATCAAGGATTCCTAGTAGAAAATAAGCATAAAGTTAATACTTGCTGTATCATAGTGTGATCTAGGCAGGTATGTGTCCTCTTGCCTAAAATACAGAGCTTTTGAAGAATGGGTTAATTTAAATTAAAAAGCTTTAAAATCCCCTTCCCCAAATATGTGCTTCACAGAGAAAATAGCCTTCTTTATCCCTGGCTCTGTTTGAATATTAACAAACACTGAGTCAGAGAGTCCTTGCTACACTGTTGCGTGGTTGCTTCTTTATTTTTTTGTCTGCACAGTGCCAATTGCTCTCAAATAAGTCTAATTTTTGGAATGCAGTTCCATTCACAGTCACAGATGTTGGGTTCTTCAGGGGCTTTGAGCTTTTTTTTCTGTGCTAAGAAAGCATTACATGAGATAGACAGTCGACTGGGATTACAATTCAATGTGTCAGCTAACTCCGAAATCCCCAGAATTTAGCACTCCTGGTCAACAGATACTCTCCAGGGAACATGGCCTCCAGAGATCAATTATTGGATCACATCCATCTAACCCAGGAGTGGGTTTGATGGTAGCTGTTTTTATTTTCTATTACAAATGGAGCAATAATGTATATTTCATAAGCACAGACGATAAAAGAATATTTATTTCAAAAATGGTGTTAGTTCTGTTGGATGATTTTGCATTCCATGGGATTAGTTTTACAGACGTTTGAACTGGTAAAGCTGAAATCATGAAAAGGAATGTAGTGCCTTAAGATTTTTAGAATAAAATGAAATATGAACCCATTTAAGACTTTTACTTTAAAATATTAAGAAAATAAATAAATTCTCTTGACCAAAATGTCTTATGTACAATAAAATCACAGGTAAGTAGCAGGTAAAAGGTAAGTGATATTATTGAATTTCCCCTCTAGTTAAGAAGAAACCTAATTACAATTTGTCTTCATGGTTCACATCAAAAGTTCTGATTGTGCTGGTTTCTCATGCAACATTGGAATAATTCATTATGGCAAATACAGAAAGTAGACAATAGAGTTTAAATGGTGTATACTTTTATACTTCTATGTTGTGTTCCTATCTTACAGACTTTTATAGTATTGAATAAAGGGAAGGCCATCTTCCGGTTCAGTGCCACCTCTGCCCTGTACATTTTAACTCCCTTCAATCCTCTTAGGAAAATAGCTATTAAGATTTTGGTACATTCATATCCTTTTTCAAGTGATTAATATTTGTACATAATCTGTAAGTGCTCTGTAGCTAAATATAAACTTATGTTGGGAAATGACCGTATTTGATGGCTTTTATCACTTTTTTATCTTCTTTTGTCACATAAACCTTATTCTTCAAGTTGATTAATCACGGAAACTTACGAAGTTGTTAACAATATATATAATACCAGTGTGTGTGTGTGTGTGTGTGTGTGTGTATATGTATGTATATTTGGTATCTCTCAAAAAATATTTGCATGTATTGAATCCTGCAAGTCTAATGCAAGGTAGCCATATTTATCTTTACCATGCTAGCACAAAGTTTGTGTAGAAGTTTGCAGTGAATTATGATATAATAACAAAGACATTTACCTCCATATGCTATAATAACAAAGAAGTTTACTTCCAGAGCTAAATCTAGACATACCTATAATATAAAACACTAACAAAGAAATGTACTTCCATATGATATAATAACAAAGAATTTACTTCCAGAGCTAAATTTAGACATATCTATAATATAAAACATTTTAGTGTTCCTTTGAATAAACCTTTAAGCATTTTTTTTTAATTGGAGACTGTCAGGAGATTTTAGCCAATATTTGGCTATTTCTTGAACTTTTCTAATGAAATCTATACGGAAACACTGGCTGAATTTCAAATTTAAGTCATTGAATTATGACCTTGCCATGCAAAACTCACTGCTTCGTAAAGACCCTGGAAGTTCATGAAGTTAATGAAAGAAGCTGAGATTATATTTCAAAATGGTCTTTCGGGATTTGCCTTTGTGATTCCCATTGGTGTTCAAAAGAACTCTATGCCTAAATTCATCCCTTTATGGTCATTAGTGAAAAACAATTTCTTCACCATTTTATTTGGTGGCTTTGACAAAAATAAACATGAAAATACTGAAATTACCAGAGCTCATACTACTTGATTTAAAAAAAGGTGGGAATTCTAAAATTAAAAAATCCATTTAAGTTTTAATCCGAAAACAAGAGATTCCTTAAGGGTATAGATACACTAACATAAAAGTCGTACGTATGTTCTGGGTTTTTGCATTTATGTGGAAGTTTCCTTCTGCTTTGTGTTTCTAGTGCCATCATGTGGTCATTTGATGAAAACTTTCTTTTTCACTTTAAGGAACGTTTTTGTTTTGGCAGTAAATTGTAGTGGAAAGAATATTGGATCTGAAGGCAAAAACCTATTTTCTAGTCCTTGGTCAAGTTCCCTAAATTCTCTAGAGCTTAGTCCTTATTTACCTAATTTCTAAAATTTAGTAATTGAACTATTTTTTTTAAGGTTCCTTTCAGCTCTATAACTTGTTTCGTGCATTTGTTTTAGCTAACGCTTAGATAATATTTAGTAATTCACAGGCACTGTTCCAAGCACTTCACATATATTAACTTGTTTAATCTTTACCTCAAACGGCAGTCTTTACATTATTAGTGCCGTTGTATAGAAGTAAACTGAGACACAGATTGCTTAAGTGACACAGAGGGGCTGAGTGACTTGCCCATGATCACTTTACTGTGTTGAATTTTAATTACATTCACGTCTGTTTAAATCCTGGCCTTCAAGAATATTCCTCTTCAATCTGACCCAGTGCTGTTGCACAAATGCATAAGCCCACTCAAAATAGGGCAGCCCAACACTTAGCATCATGCTGTACTTTGACTACAAATTATTTTCATTCACTAAACTAAATTGTATAATATCTATTTAAGGAAATTACAGTATTGGAAGTATATGCCCTTCTTTAACAGTTTACTGTTTTAATTACCTGAATTAATTCAAAAAATGCTTTCTGTCCAGAAACTCTTCAAGTCCAGGTTGCACACAATCTTTCCACTAAAGTTATCAGGGAGGTATATATATTGATTTAATAACAGTAGCAAAAGCATCAACATATACTGATATAACGCTTTCCCATAGATTATCTTATACATACATTTTCACCTACATTATCTCATCTATACAACTACTTACATTTTAAACCTGCAGAAGCTAAAATTTAAAGAGATTAGATAATGACTTGCCTACAGTGTTTATGTCACAAGAGTCTGGCTGAACTGCTCTTCAAGCTTTTCAGTGTTAGTTTTCTATAATATTTGGATCTGGATTTTCTTCTGTGCATTCCTTAACAATAACCTACATTATTCAGCATGCTAATTATGTGCACAATTTTGACGAACTGCGTGTTTATGACAATGAGTAATCCTCCTGACTGGACAAAGAATGTAGAGTAAGTTCATGTTATTTTAAATTGTCTAGTATACATATATAGACATACATAGATATAATTGTTTGGAATTTTGAAACTGTCTGAATGCAGCCACTAAATAAAACTGAAGAACATTTTTTATTACAGCCATTTTCTAAACACAATTACATAGTGGGAAGACAGTAGTCATTGGCCCTCAGGTCTGCTGGTATCTCTCCTTCACCTGTACCTGGCGGGTAGCAGAGTCCATCATTCTTGGACACTCATCATCTTTTCTTTAGGACCTCCAATGGCCAAAGCAAACACAATGAAAAGAGCCAATATGGTGGACCTTGGTTTCTGAATCCAGTGAGTGAACTAAAAAGGGCAGACCACAAATGCTGTAACAAGTCAGTACTGGGTTTCACAGAGTTTTCCTTTCCATTAGGCACAGCCACTTCATGTCAGGCTCATACCAGTTTCAAGTGTGATCACTAAGGAATTGGCAGGGGAAAAAATGCCAAAATAAGGGATTTTAGAACTTGAAACTTCAGTAGATAGAGTACAAAACTAACTGAAGTGAAAGTTAGGGTAGCACTTTCAGAAATCAGAAGCATTACTAATTACTCTCAGCTCTGGGCATACCTTTGAGAGCAGAGGCCGGCTTTGTGCTGATCACTGCTGCAGCTGCTTTAATTGTGGCTGCTCCTGTTTTGGGGATCCCCTCTGGGCTCACATTGCCTGTAAGGTAATCCCTATTACTCTAAGGTTGCTGACCCTTAAAACAACCGCAGAGGGATTCCCCCACAGCCCTTAATGACACTTGCATCTAGAGCCAATCAGAAACAAAGATGCTCAAGGAAATAATAAAATTAACATACAAAGAATACCCAAGTATTGGAGTTAACTTGTCAGGCCCTACAGGTCTTCACTCCCCCTCCTGTGATTTTATGCTATCCACTCCCCACCCCATTTCTGAGTAGAACACTTAAACCTTGGAAACATTCAAGTTTCTCAGTGATCACATTTTTTCCCTAAATTAAATTATCACTTTTTATGTCCCTAGAATGGGCCAGCTTGGTTTTAATGAAGTCCTTTTTCCAGGCAAGTTAACCTATGGTGTTAGAAAACTTGCTACTTTGTCAATGTTCTATAATTCTTAAAACAGTTGAAATTGAGTTGGTTTCCCCCTCCCTCTTTAAAAGAAAACCATTTTATGCTTCTGCAATATCGTTGATTGGCTACTCCATCCTGTGACTGTACTGGATAATTCTCGGGAGGCTCTATTCATTTATATCAATACCAAGATATATCCAACAGTAGCTAGGTAGACTATATTCAGTCTGTGTTACTTACACTGCTGTTAGGATACTTTAAACAACTCTTCATGTGTTAGGGGGTTGAATTTAAATTTCAGACCAGGTCTTATTTCTATGAAAATAAAATCAAAACTTGCTTAAATTCCTTTTTAGTATTCATCTAGTCTACTGATAGACTGATGAAAAAAATGGATATGTTATGGGAAAAAAAATATTACTTGATCAATTCTTTTGGATACTTATCTCCAGGTACACCTTCACAGGAATATATACATTTGAATCACTCATAAAAATTATTGCAAGGGGCTTCTGCTTAGAAGATTTTACTTTCCTTCGGGACCCATGGAACTGGCTCGATTTCACTGTCATTACATTTGCGTAAGTGCCTTTTTTGAAACTTTAAAAAAAACATAGTTTTTGTTTTCTGTAAGTGCTTATGCTTTGAAAGACTACTTTGGTATGAAATTTAAGCTCTGGATTTTAATGTAGCGCAACAGAGGTCAAAGTGGCATTTCCCGTTGGCGTGAAGCTGTGGCAGTAGTTGAAATGATTCATGCAAACCACAGTTTTCAGAAAATTTCATACATGCTGCTTCTCCAACACACATCCACCCTAACATGAAAGAATGGGTATATTCATAATATGTCTGTCAAATGGTTTTTAAAACTATAGCCAAAACAGTTCTGCTAGCCCCACAAAATTGCATTGACCTTACCTGTATTATTCACTCTCCCTGCTTCTTTTGTGACTTTGGTGGAAAAGAGAATATAAGCATCTACTAGCATCAAACCATGCCAACATATCAAATGAAAAGAAAAAAGAAAGGTACAACAGAATATATTAAATTCTCATTTCATCAACAAAATGATTTTTTCAGACTTATGTAAAAACATACACAGTCTCTGCTCTTTCAGTTTCTCCCCTGATCCCTTTTCTTACTTCCTCTTTCTTCTTTCCCTTTACCCCTTTTTTCATCTTTCTTTAACCTCCATATAAATGAACCTTCTCACCCTTATCTTCTGTCTATATCCAAAAAACCAAAACCAAACCCGTTGCCATGGAGTCGATTCTGACTCATGGCAATCCCTTGTATACAGAGTAGAACTGCACTCCACAGGATTTTCAAGGCTGTGACCTTTTGGAAGCAGATCGCCAGGGCTTTCTTCCAAGGCACTTCTGGGTGGGTTCAAACCTCCAAACTTTCAGTTAGTAGTCAAGCGCTTAACCGTTTATGCCTCTCAGAGACTCTTGCCTGTCTAGATAGACTTAGCACAATTTCTGCAGACCAGTAAATTTCCACAAGAAAGAAGAGACTCAAAAAGAATGGGATACCATTTAGGAGTAGATGAAAGTAGAGTGTGGAAGAAGGTGGACCACCACCACACGCCTTTGTCCTTCCTACAGAAAAGATGACTTCTTGGCCTCCTACAGTTGGTGGACAGCGGGAGGAGGGGGTGCCTTGATATACTCAGAGTTCTAAAGGCTGCCGGGCTCATCCAAATGCCATATCTGGCCAAATGAGCCAATTTTTCACCACTCCCTCTGGCCACAACTCAAGAGAAGGCATACTGGGGCCTCTGTTTCTTAAGAATAAACTAGCAACAATGGCAGAGCAGCATTCCAAAGACCAAACCCACTGCCATCCAGTCAATTCTGACTCATAGTGAACCTATAGGACCGGACAGAACTGCCCCATAGTATTTCCAAGGCTGTAAATCTTTATGGAAGCAGACTGCCACATCTTTCTCCCACGGAGTGGCTGGTGGGTTCGAACCGCTGACCTTTCCGTTAGCAGCTGAGCGCTTAACCACTGTGCCGCCAGGGCTCCTAGAGCAGCATTAGGCCCTGCTAAAACGCGGCTCTTAATTTGACTGACTTTCACTTGAAAGTTACACAATGAAAAACTTAATTACGTCCCGAAAGTCCACATGGCCATCTGCCTTTTCATGCCTAAATTTCTGTTAGGTGATTTCATGTATTTTTCTTCTAACTGAAACCATAGCCAAGGTTTTTATTTTTTCTCTTTTTACTTAATTCTCCTAAGTATATGTTACATTGATTATATTGCTTTCTGAAGTAGCAACAGGAATGCATACTCCATGAAGTTTACATGTAGCTGACAGCCTTAAATTTTGTGAATAAAACCTCAGTTATGGAGTTGAATTTCTAAATTGTTACTTAAAATATTTATCATTTAAAAATCACCAAAAAAGATCCTTTATAAAAGACCCAAGCAAAAAAAATATAAATTCTGCTTAAATCTTGAATAACTCTGATTTAATTCTACAGGTATGTAACAGAATTTGTAAGCCTAGGCAATTTTTCAGCTCTTCGCACTTTCAGAGTCTTGAGAGCTTTGAAAACTATTTCTGTAATCCCAGGTAAGAAGTGATTAATGTAAAGCACAAGGCTCCTTGAACCTACAGCTCTTTCTCTGTATCCTGTTATTGTGTTTGTGTGTGAACTCCCTATTACAGATACGTGACGGAGTTTGTGGACCTGGGCAATGTCTCAGCGTTGAGAACATTCAGAGTTCTCCGAGCACTGAAAACGATTTCAGTCATTCCAGGTGAGAGCGAGGTTAAACACCGAGGCTGACCTATGTCTTTTCGGCAGCGACATCTTTGCTTGACTTTCCATATTACAGAACATAGCGAATCATTACACGGGGTGTTACGTAGAAAGTGATTCTTACTGTCTGGACATAAATTTTTGTGTTTTCACATTTTTTCATCAGGCTTGGAGTTTAACAGTTTCTTGCCTGCGATACCGTAATACACAGTCTGTGTTATTTGCGCAGAAAGATGCCATGTTGTTGTTGTTTTTCTTCTTCATGTCACTTGAACCAAGAATTTGTTCCCCGTTGAATGTACCAATATGTAACTTCTTGTTTATTATAGGCATTGACAGCTATTGTAAATCCTAATATTACTAACAAAAGATAATAAAGAGTAGCATGAATCTGATTGGAGCATTTATTATCTTAAAGTGCAGTTATACATCAAACTGCCTCCAGGTTTAGAGCAAAATCTTTTCCACTTTAAATAGGAATTTTAAAATGTATATTTAATTCGTTATAATACTGACAACTGACCCTAATGAAAGCGTGGGACAAAGTTCATTAGCAAACAGGAGAAACACAAGATTCTTATCTTAATGTAGGCTTCCTGAAGACCATCAACCATTTCATTGTTTGAGGGATTGTTACATTTCAGTTCATCTCTGTTAGCTCTTCAGCCTTCCATGAACTATTGCTCTTCCGCTAGTGTTTCAATCATATTTGGACTTATGCATGGATTCCATGCTTTCAAGAAAATTGTGTGACGCTTTTATTATTTCAGGTGTGTTAAAACTTCATTGTAATCTCCTTTCTTTCAGGCCTGAAGACCATTGTGGGGGCACTAATCCAGTCAGTGAAGAAGCTCTCTGATGTCATGATCCTGACTGTGTTCTGTCTGAGTGTGTTTGCTCTAATTGGGCTGCAGCTGTTCATGGGCAACCTGAGGAATAAATGTGTACAATGGCCTCCCACCAATGCTTCCCTGGAGGAACATAGTATAGAGAGGAATGTAACAGTGGATTACAACGGCACACTTGTAAACGAAACTGTTGTTGAGTTTGACTGGAAATCATATATTCAAGATTCAAGTAAGAATTGTTGTTGTTAGTTGTCATCAGAATAGAACTACTCCATAGAATTTTCTTGATGGTAATCTTAATGGAAGCAGATCACCAGGACTTTTCTTCCGCAGTTCAGCTGGGTGGGTCAAACCAACAACCTTTAAATTAGCAGTCAAGTGCAAACTGAATTATTTATTTAATGGAAATGTAAAAAATGACCCCATAATAGGTTGTAGTCTCTTTAAAAAATTACCTAATTAGTCTATTTTAAAATATTTAAAATTACGTTTTTATTTCACATTGCTTTCCCCTGGATTTTAAACAATAGAACATGTATGTTTTTGGAACTGATTTTAAAGAAGAGCTTTGTTGATCACCTTGTTAATGGTTTACACATACTTTTAATTCTTTAATTGATAACTATTCTCGTTTTGACTCTTAAATGTGACTTTCTGTTGTATCATTATGTGGGAGGCTGAAGAATTTAGCTAGAATGAAATATTCCCAGGAACTTTGCTGAAAAGTCTTCTTATGATGACTGAGACAATCAAATGAGATAAAATATGTGAAAGACCTTTGGAAATTCTAAAGTGTTGTACAAATATAATCCATTAAATGATAATTACAGAATGCCTCTTATGTACCAGAACTGTACTGGATGCTGGGGGAAAAAATGATGACAACTCACGGCTTCATGATGCTTAGAGTTTAGTGGATTATTGTTACTGTCATTTTATAGAAGCCAAATGAGACCTAAAGATACACATTATCTTACATTTGAAAAGTAATACTATATCAAAAAGAAGGAAATTGGAGTTAATTAAGCTTTAGAAAATGTTTTTGTAGCTAATACTATATATGCATCCTTTACTGTAAGCGGCCTAAATACATCCTGAGGGTTGGTAGAATGTATATTACAATTATTTTTTTTAATGTATAAATGGTGTTAAAAATCAGTAGAAGACCAGAAAAGATACAACACTTTTATTTTGAAATATGTCATTGTTTTGAGAAAGCCAAGAAATCCCTCTCTTTTTACAGAATGAAATTTTATTTTTCTGAAGGTGGTGGAAAAACAGTGATACCTTTCTAAAATATTATGTTAGTACCTGTGATTATCATTAATTTTACATTCATAATGAAGAAATACTTTGTACTATTAAGATCTAATCCCCTTAATATAATATCTAGTATTTGGAGGGAGAAAGGGAAAATTCTTATGTCGTTGAATGAATATGTTTTAAAATATTTAAAATTACTCAATGAATTCTACAAGTAGGACCTTATCTTCCTGTTCTCATTTTAGTATTTTTAATAATGCAAGTGTTCCTTATATCACTTTATTTTTTCCAAACAGGATATCATTATTTCTTGGAGGGTTTTTTAGATGCACTGCTATGTGGAAATAGCTCTGATGCAGGGTAAGCCAATAGTGTGTGTGTTTGTGTGTGCATAAATATATGTATTTTTTCCTCTTTTTATAGCAACTGACAAAAACAGCCAATTAATTTTATTCACACTAATTTTCTATAATTAAGATTACTTTTAAAGTGAGAGATTAATCAAATATTAGGCAAGTTCTTATGTTTTCTACAAAAAACAGTAGTACTTTTAGCTATAATGCTGCTTCCTTTAGATAAAATTATAACCAAAAACCCATTGCCGTTGTGTCCACTGCAACTCATAGCAACCTATCGGACCAAACAGAACTACCCCATAGGGTTTCCAAGGAGTGGCTGGTGAGTTTGAACTGCTAACTGGTAGTTAGCAGCTAAGCTGTTAACCACTCTACCACCAGGACTCCGAATCAACTCTGGAGACTCCATAGTAAGGAACGTGAAATAGACAGATCTGTTAAAATGCTAATTGTCAACGGAAAATAGTTTGTAAAGTATTATTAAAGACTTGCACCTTAAAATATGGATAGTAAAATTGGCTAGTAGCTACTAAAATTATATTAAGTCAAAAGTTGAGAAATGTGTTATTAGTCTTTGAAATAGCAATTCTTCTTGGGAAAATGTTAAAAGTATAGCATGCCACCAAAATAAAAAGACATCCGAACACCTTGTAATACTTCCTTTTATCCTGTTTACAGCCAATGTCCAGAAGGATACATGTGTGTGAAAGCTGGTAGAAATCCCAATTATGGCTACACAAGCTTTGATACTTTCAGTTGGGCTTTTTTGGCCCTGTTCCGACTGATGACTCAAGACTTCTGGGAAAATCTTTACCAACTGGTGAGAACCCGAATAGACACATACTGCATTTAAGTAGAAGTGTGCAAGAAAACCAGTTTAGTTACAAAATCCAAACCACAGCATAATATAGTGGAAAGAAAAAAAAAAAAAAAAGAACAAGAACCAAACCTGTTGCCGTTGAGTCGATTCTGACTCACAGGGACCCTGTAGGACAGAGTAGAATTGCTCCATAGAGTTTTTAAGGCGATAAATCTTTATGAAAGCAGACTGCTTTGTCTTTCTCCCACAGAGCAGACCGACTGATCTTTCACTTAGCAGCCAAGCATTTAACCACTATGCCTCCAGGGCTTGAAATCAGGAGATTTGAGTTCGTCTTTTATTAATTGGAACACATGCTTAGCATAGTGATGCCAGGGATAGAAATTCTCTCCCATTTCCCCTTTCCCATCCTTCACAGATACATCCTCCCTTCAGTCTCACCCATACTTTCAAGCACTATCACTCAAGTGGGAGATGATGAAAGATGAAGAAGGCTCAGCTCTTTAATGGGGATCTCCATTGTGTTTTATCGATTCCACTTTATTCTTGGTGAATGAAAGAATGCCATTCTAGAGATGAGAGTTTGAACGCATGAGTTAGGGGAGAAGGCAGAGGATCAGGTTAAGACAGCTCAAGAGGTAGGAAGGGCTGTGACCAACATAATTATTATCTTATTAGAGTCCTGTAAGACGCACAAGTAATCTGAAAGTTGAAGCCACAGGTTAGTGAAATAATATTGAAAAATTAATTCTGATATTCTTGTTTCCAGACATTACGTGCTGCTGGGAAAACATACATGATATTTTTTGTGTTGGTCATTTTCTTGGGCTCATTCTACTTAATAAATTTGATTCTGGCTGTGGTCGCCATGGCCTATGAGGAACAGAATCAGGCCACCTTGGAAGAGGCAGAGCAGAAAGAGGCCGAATTTCAGCAGATGCTTGAGCAGCTTAAAAAGCAACAAGAAGCAGCTCAGGTAAATGTACTGAAGCAAATGTGCCCCCTTCACTGCATGATCCATTTTATTTTTTTCTTTTGGTTTATTACAAAAATTCTAAAGAGAAAGTGAGAGACAGATAATTGTTTAAAAATACCTGAGATAAATTAGTCGAATTAGAATTTCTACATTTTGATAAAGTACTCGGCTGCTAACGAAAAGGCTGATGGTTCAGACCCACCCAGCGGCTCCATGGGAGAAAGACCTGGTGATCTGCTTCTGTAAAGATTACAGCCAAGAAAACCCTGTGGGGCATTTCCACTCTACCACATGGGGTTGCTATGAGTTGGAAAAGACTAGATGTCACCCAACAACAACAACATAGATCTTTTAGTTTAATTATTCAAGATGTGTATAATATTGACCATAATAGAACGGTCTCATGCTATTTTCATTATCTTAAGATTCTCAGAATAAAAGGGAAAATGTAATATTTGGGTTTTCTCAAGTGGGAAACTTTTAATGAATGAATATACTGGCAATTGGAAAAAATCTTAAAAGATCATCTTTTCTTAGAAAAAAATTATTGGTTATTACATAAAACGCCGTCCACCCAGTTCTTAGAAGATAGTCTCTTCTTTTCTTCAAACAAAAATATGTTGACTTTTAATGTAGTTGTCTAATTGCCTTTATTACATAAATAAGGAGGCTATCAAATAACGTTCTCTGATAACAGCAGTATATACAGTAGGCATGTGAAAGTCACCAATCTTACAGAAATCAAGCAATCTGAGAAGGATTAGTTGTTCTTAAAGTGAGGTGTCAGTACTCATAGTAGCATAAATTGTAAAACCTCTCCTATCACTCACTTCTTCTTTGCTCTTTCTATTTAGCATATGAACAAACTTACTGTCTTTGCTAAAGAAGAAAGTTGCTTTGAGAATATTAATTTATTTGCAAGAGTCCCTGTATTGGGAGTTGTTGTTGTTGTGTGCCTTGGAGTAGATTCTGACTCATAGCGACCCTATAGGACAGAGTAGAACTGCCCCATAGGGGTTCCTAGGCTTAATCTTTACGGGATTAGATTGCCAGGTCTTTTCTCCCTTGGAGCCAGCCACCGATGCATTTGAACTGCCAACCTTGCAGTTATCAGCCAAGCACTTAACCATTGTACCACCAGGGCTCCTTGTATTGAGACTACTATAGGAAAAATAACACAAAAAGTGTCAACTTGTACCAATACAAGCTGTGATGAAAAAGTGATCCTTATACCATGCCCTCATGGCCAGCAAGAACCAGTAGTGAGTTGAAGACAATGGTGACAATTTTTGGAGAACTGATGAAAGTCCTATCGTGGTTAGCAGGAAACCTTTGACCCTCCATGTTGCATTCTTCTGGATAGAGTATCATAGAGGAGTGAGGAAGGAATTTTATCATCTTTCATAAATTTGATTGATAACATTTTGAAGGTATTGGACAACTTAATTTCAATAATTAGAGAGGGAATCTCAGATCTGTATCGCATTCCTCATGCCTTTGCATATGACCTCAAGCAACTCATCTGATTTTCTTCCATGCTCCAGTTTCTTTTTCAGAGCAAAGAAGGCAATGATAATTAAATGCCAATTTTTAGAGTAAATCAAATCTCAAAAAGTAATATGAATTTATGTCCTTGTTGATGCCTGATTGATCCTTGTCAATATGTGGTCTGTGAAGCGTAATACAGACAGTAATAAATGTTAACAGAGAAAACTGAATTATCTCTGAAAGCTTTCATTAGGTGGAAATAAAAAAATCACCCTTCACTTTCAGAGCTGCTTCTAAGTGAAATCAGCTTCAGTCAGACAAATGTATTTTTTAAATACCATGCAAATACTTGAGCTATTTTTAACCAGTTGTCTTTTAGTCGACTCCAACTCATGGCGACTCCCATGTGTGCCAGAGTAGAAATGTGCTCTGTAGGGCACATTTTCAGTGGATAATTCTTCGAAAGTAGAGAGCCAGACCTTTCTTTCATGGGGCCTCTGGGTGGGTTTGAGCTTACAACTTTTAGTTAGCAGCCTAGTGCGTTTACCATTTGAACCACTCCGGGCCTCCTTGAGCCATTTTAAAGAATTATAAAGTCTTCTCTAGTGCCATGTTGAAACCATTTCTCCACAATGTAGCAGGCAGCAGCTGCAACTGCCTCGGAGCATTCCAGAGAACCCAGTGCAGCAGGCGGCCTCTCAGACAGCTCATCCGAAACCTCTAAGTTGAGTTCTAAGAGTGCTAAGGAAAGAAGAAATCAGAGGAAGAAAAGAAAACAGAAAGAGCAATCTGGTGGGGAAGAGAAAGATGAGGATGAATTCCATAAATCTGAATCTGAAGACAGCATCAGGAGGAAAGGGTTTCGCTTCTCCATCGAAGGGAATCGATTGACATACGAAAAGAGGTACTCCTCCCCACACCAGGTATGGCCTTGCTGAGTTAAATGATGCATGAATGAAAACTAGACCACTGAAGGGAGGGGAGAGTTAAAATGGACTTTTGAATTTTCATGAGCTGAGTGACTGTTACTTTACCTGAATTTAAATCTGCCCTCTCTTCACATAGTTACGAGAAAATTCTACTCCATATATATGTAAGTCTACAGCTTGGTATAGTTGAAACAACACTGGGTTGAAAGTCAGGAGAGCTATATTCTGATCCCGGTACTGTCTGCTCTTACTGTCTGTAACTAACTACTTTTCATCTTTCTGGTTTGCAGGCTTCTTAGTGAAAAAGAAAAAAAATGTGGATTTTGGGCTAGCTTATAAGAAATGTCCCTTTGGTTATCTTACTATTTTATGTTTTTTATTCGCTTCTTTATAAACCATCATATAGCCTCCTAAAAATATTAGTTATGGTACAGTTTATTGAAAAGCATATCACTCTAAATTTCAGAACTGAACTTCTAATTCCAACATCACTGTGCCTTATAGGCGAAACAGGAATAATAGTTAATTTAAAGGGATTTTACAAAGATGGACTACAAGAATTTATAAAGTATTGGAATTCCTTGAAAGGAAAGAGCAGCAAATGTGGCCTTGTTAAGGTCACGCTACCAGTGTTGACTGAATGTTTACAATACGCATAGCAATGTACTAAGAATGTTTTCTTTTGAACTTGAGAAATGGTGGGTCATGTTTGTTTGTTTTTGAAATATCTTTTGGTCATGCTCTATCTCCCCATTCTTTAATCCCAAGGTCTAGAAGCCCCCTCCTATAAAACTAATGTATTTTAATTTGAATGCATATAAAATGGGAATGTTAATTGAAAAGAATGAGTCACATTTTGTTATGAATGCTGAAATCTCCTTCACTTACTCTTGCAAAATGAAAGCACAATCCAAATTGTCCTTTTAATATGATTCTCCCTTTTTTGTTGTTGTTGTTTCAAACTTTTAGTCTTTGTTGAGCATCCGTGGCTCTATATTTTCTCCAAGGCGAAATAGTAGAACAAGCCTTTTCAGCTTTAGAGGGCGAGCAAAAGACGTGGGATCTGAGAATGACTTTGCTGATGATGAGCACAGCACATTCGAGGATAATGAGAGCCGGAGAGATTCCCTGTTTGTGCCGCGGCGACATGGAGAGCGACGTAACAGTAACCTAAGTCAGACTAGTAGGTCGTCTCGGATGCTGGCGGTGTTTCCAGCGAATGGGAAGATGCACAGCACTGTGGATTGCAATGGTGTGGTTTCCTTGGTTGGTGGACCTTCGGTTCCTACATCGCCTGTTGGACAGCTTCTGCCAGAGGTGATAATAGATAAGCCAGCTACTGATGACAATGTAAGGAAGTTTTAAATAGTTTAGGCATGGCTGGCCCGTTATTGCTGCACCAGCCAGTGTTTCTACAGAATGGTACCCCTTGAGAATGATTCCTGGTTGGTCAAGCTGTGAATGTACCTGCATCTTGTAACATCTTTACTAGACTAACCAACTAAAACTTAAAACCTCAACTCTCTCCTGCATTAAACCCGAATGCATTTACTTATAAACCTGCTAAGGATAAATTAGACACAATAATAAGTTATTGCCTCCAGTTGGAGGATTTGCTGTATACCCATGCTGAATTTAGATAGCAGAATGTCCTCTAAGGCCCTGTACAAAAATAAATCAATGATTCCTATACTCAAGTGTGAAGGGTGTATAATAAATCTTTCCAACCAATTCTTCAATATAACTCTAGTTTAGAAGATTTTTGAGAATACTGTGCGTAAATAGATAGCTTCATTAGTCCCTTAAAATTTCTAGTTTTCATATTTGTCTTACTAAAAAAATGCTGATGTAGGTCTTCTCAGACGTAATCTAAATGAAGAGACACAAATTATTCATTCAGACAGTTATAATAATTGTCTGTGTACACAAAGGTATGTTATGTATTTGTGAATGTACCACAGATGAGGAATTTCTAAACGGATGTGGCCTCTTTTTAGACTGTTCACTCACTTGGAATTATATCAGCATGTTGAGGCATGACTAAGTCAGAATCAGATGACTCATTGCTTTGGTACCCTGGATGAAACTGTTGTCCACGCAGCAGGCGTGCATTTTTTTAACATACGGTTTGTGTTGTCAATGACTGTCCATGTCTTGTGTCCAAAAAATGAGATGGTAGCCAACTGTGTTGTAACTATTTGTATTTGTTTAAAAATAATGGGCTACCTTCTCAATACCAAGTGCCTTGATCATTTATGTGACTTGTCAAGTTATTAGTTTTTTACTACTAGTGCAAAAATAAGGGTAACTACAAATATGACTCTCAAGAGATTTGTCAACTATATCAAAACTGTATCATGTCTCATAAATTTATGAACTAGAAGGGTTAAAAAAAAATCTTCTTGCCGTATGACTAAGTGGTTGACAGTTTGGACATTCCAGGTTAATGATACAATAAGTCAGCAATATCTGCCATCACCAACTAAATATGAAAGTGCATGATGCGTGTGTTTCATGACATTCACTGTGTCACCTTTTGGTTGTTGGTTTATCATCTTGCTCAAGATAATTATTTAAAGGATTAGCTTTTTTTTTTTTTTCTTAAACAGGGAACAACCACTGAAACTGAAATGAGAAAGAGAAGGTCAAGTTCTTTCCATGTGTCCATGGACTTTCTAGAAGACCCTTCCCAAAGGCAGAGGGCAATGAGTATAGCCAGCATTTTAACAAATACAGTAGAAGGTGTGTCACAAATCTCACTGCTATTTCTGTTATTTTCACTAAACTTCTGTTGTCTCATTTGAAACAAATATTTTTAAGTTGAAAACAGTATACTCTTATGAGAAGACAATAGGTCTTACTTAAGAGATACTGCTTCTATCTACTCACATAATGTAGACAAAGTTCAAGATATTTATTTAAACTCTATGATATTGAGACTGCTTTCCTAATGTGTGTGTGTGGTAACTTTTTAAAAATTCAAGATAAAGCATTTCTGTGACGGGTTTCTAATCCCATTAGTCATGGTTGACCCTCTGTTCTGTCCCACTTAGCTTAGATCTTCAGCAGCAACACTGGCCCTTCTTTCCACATAAAAAATACTATACATACACTGGAATATTATTCAGCCGTAAAGAGAAATTAAGTTCTCATACATGCTATAACATGGATAAACTTTGAAAACATTATGCTAAGTGAAATCAGTCATACACAAAAAGATAAATATTGTATGATCTCAGTTACTTATTACCATTCCATATTATTCATATAATAGCTAGAATAAGAAAATGCACAGACGAAACTTATTAGTGGTTACCCGGGCCTGGGGGTAGAGAGAATGGAGAGTTATTGCTTGAAGGGTACTAAGTTTTGGGTGATGCAAATCTTTTGGAAATCTATAGTGGTGATGGTTACCCAACACAATGAATTTAAAGTCACTGAACTGCATACTTAAAAAATGTTAAAATGAAAAATTTTTTGTTATATATATTTTGCCACAATAAAATTTTTTTAAGTAAAAGAAAAAAAATGTCCTCAAGATTTCAAGAGATGAGGAGAGTAGGTCATCTTCACAAAATAAAAGTGAGTTAAAAAGAAAATTATTGGTTCTTAGCGATCCCTACTCCCATCACTTATAACCTGAGTATGACAACATAGCCAGACATTAACATAGGGCTGCACACAGTATCTCCATTACCCCAAACCATGTTCCTATTGGCACTTCATTTAAAAGAGCATTCACTTAACTTGATGTCAAGTACTGTACCACAATGTTAGTGCATGAGAGAAAAAAAACTATTCTTTGCTACCTCTACTTTATGTGTATTTAAATAACTTTGGGAATATGAAGAGTAAAATCTGTAATTTTTTTTTATCCAGTACAAAAGAAGATTGAGTCTTCGTAGCAAATGAAAATGTGTTGATTTCTGAAAAGAAATCTAGTAGATTTGAAATAAATAAATATAGGTTTACATAAAATATATTTTTGGGTGGTTGTTCTTTTTTTAATCTAGAACTTGAAGAATCCAGGCAGAAATGCCCTCCCTGTTGGTATAAATTTTCCAACATATTCTTAATCTGGGACTGTTCGCCATATTGGTTAAAAGTGAAACATATTGTCAACCTGGTTGTGATGGACCCATTTGTTGACCTGGCCATCACCATCTGTATTGTCTTAAATACTCTTTTCATGGCCATGGAACACTATCCAATGACGGAACATTTCAATAATGTGCTTACAGTAGGAAACTTGGTAAGCATATTGGAAGGTAAATGTGTTCAGTCTTCAAATTTTCTGTTTGAGAAATTGTTTATATTTAATAGCTTGTAGCGGTCTTTAACCACCCTTCCTACCTCCTGCCCCACAAGAGATGAGAATGTTATCTAGCTGGTTTGAACCTACCTTTTGCCAAAAATAACAACCCTGAAAGCCAAAGCAAAAACTGAGAAAGAGAATAATAGGCATAGGCCTACTGTACTACCTGCAAAGTCCATAGCGATATTTACAAATTTTACAAGATACAGAAACAGTTCATAGCTTAAGTACATATTTTTTTAATGATGTTATCACAGTCTCTCCAGCAGTAGAAGGTTAACATAAAATTGTGGATTATTTTATCCTATTTAGTCATCATCACTGTAGGCAATAATTTAACCGCTCAAAAATGTCTTCAGCTTTTCCGTTTCCAGGAACTACGTAGAACATGTATTGTTTTATCCATCCACCTGTATCAAAACCATGAAATACTGAAAACCTTCAGTGCATTTTGTGTATTGTATGAGTTAATCAATCAATCTGTTACCTTCAAGTCAATTCCAACTCATAGCAACCTTATAGGACAGAGTAGAACTACCCCTAGGGTTTCCAAGGAGCAGCTGGTAGATTCAAACTGCCGACTTATTGGTTAGCCACTGACTTCTTAACCACTACGCCACCAGGGCTCCATTATATGATTAGCAAGACCATTTTTGATGATGGTTTCCACTTAATTCTTCCATTTTTATACTTCAAAAATATAAACTATTAAAATGTTTGTCAGTTGACTCAGTTTAGGAGTATTAGTTTTTATTTGTTGAAATGCATACAGTAATACATGCATTTTCCATAAAATTTGTTTTGAAGTTTAGGGTGTTTTTAGGGTAAAAGGCAAAAAAACAAGTATAACATTTCTCAGTGATTTTAAAGTGCTTCTGTTTAAACTATGGAGGTAATTTTTTTTCATGTGCATGGCAAATAAAAACTAATTATGCACATATTGTAAGAATAGATAATCATTTATAAAGATAACTACATGGGAATATGATTATAGATAAATAAAACGGTTCATGGGCAAAATTTTGTCAGTAACTGGGCAGTATGAAGTATGTAGAGTTCGATGTAATGAAGGAACACTAGTGAAAAATAGGAGGTTTGCATTCAAATCCTAGTCTCGCAATTTTCGAGTTGTATGATTTTGGGCAAGTCATTTCATCCATCTGAAAATCTTCATTTCTCATGTCTCAGGTAATAGTTATAATACTTGAATTGTCCACTGAATAGAACTTTCGTGAGGATAAAATGAGATAATGTACATGAGAGCCTTTCTTCAACTATGAATTACTATACAAATGGAAGTTAGTAATAGACTCCCCATGAGGGAAGGCGGCATAAACAGTTTGTTCTAAGAACAAATATTATGTTGTTGTAGTTTATCATTAGCTGAGAGAGTTGGAGTAATTTTGTTTTGATTTTAGGTCTTCACTGGAATCTTTACAGCAGAAATGTTTCTGAAAATTATTGCCATGGATCCTTACTATTATTTCCAAGAAGGCTGGAATATCTTTGATGGTTTCATTGTGACGCTCAGCCTGGTAGAACTTGGCCTTGCCGATGTGGAAGGATTATCAGTTCTCCGTTCATTCAGATTGGTAAAAGACAAAACAAAACAACAGAAACTTTTCCAATAATGAGAGTTCTTGCATAGTACTGTCATAGATTTTACCACAGAACTATTAACATCTTAACTTTTTGTGTAAAATTGGCATTGTCAAAAACTACCTAACTAAAGAAATTATTCCTACTTAATTAGAAAAACCTTTATTGAAAAGAGCATAATCACATAGATTAATATATTACTTAGTTGCTATTTTGACTAATTATTATTTCTAGAGACTATTGCATTTAATATTTCCAGATGTAAGTAAATATTTTTAATGAAAAATCATCACCTTTTAATAGTTACTTAAAAATATTCACTGCCTTTTTTAACGGTGAATGACAATTTAATATGAGATGTCCATTCAGAAAGTTTTCCTAATTCTACCTCTGGAAAAAAATGCACCTCCCCAAGATCAAAAGAGAGGAATTCTTCACGATTACTAAACATGCCCAGGAATTCATATATATGTCCTTGCAAATTGGGAAGGAATTCTAGAGTCACGGGAAATATTCTGGGTTTGTCAATGCAGAAGCATCTAGCTGTATCAGTGCCCTCCAAAAACATTAACGAATATTAAGGATCTTTCTCCCGTTGTATCAGACTCAATATGATCTTATTTGGCCTGCTATTGATAAATGGACATCTTTCAGCAGAGATCATTGTGATTCAGATGTTAATACTATAGTGTCAGGCCTGGTATGCCTTAGAACCACCTTCAAAAAACAAGAATCCCAGAGTATCGTCAAAAATTCACTTCCAGTGAAAATGGTCTACATGGGTAAAATGTGCAAGAACCAGAATCTTCCTAGGGGATACAAAAAAGTAGTCATGAGTCCAAGAGGGTGAAAGGGCAAGGTAGATGTTGTTAAAGGTTTAATTTTAATCATCATTTGGTGAACCTCAATATATGTAAGGCTTTTAAAAATCATAATAATTTATATTAATTCTTTATTTTCCAGCTTCGAGTATTCAAACTGGCAAAATCTTGGCCAACATTAAATATGCTAATAAAGATCATTGGCAATTCAGTGGGGGCTTTGGGAAATCTAACCCTGGTGTTGGCCATTATCGTCTTCATTTTTGCCGTGGTTGGCATGCAGCTCTTTGGTAAGAGCTACAAAGATTGTGTCTGCAAGATCTCCAGCAACTGTGAACTCCCTCGCTGGCACATGAATGACTTCTTCCACTCCTTCCTGATTGTGTTCCGGGTGCTGTGTGGAGAGTGGATAGAGACCATGTGGGACTGTATGGAGGTCGCTGGCCAAGCCATGTGCCTTACTGTCTTCATGATGGTCATGGTCATTGGTAACCTGGTGGTATGTACCCACTTAAGATACGTATTTCAGGAATAGATTAAAAGCATGATAGAATGGTGACCATTTTGTCAAAAATAAATCATGATTATTCATTTACAAAGTCTCTTACCTTGGATATACCTATAGTCTCACTTAGACAGCATAGCACTATAGCAGTAACCTTCCAGTTTTTATACTCAACTGCATTGCAGCAATCATTACATCACATTTATTAAGTGATCTCCAGTAAAATATCCTATTGATACGCCAACAGAGTATCTCCAATAGCATATCCATAGAAGGATATGCTGGGAATTTTATGAATTCAGAGCCAAGAGACGGAGAATTCTGAAAATAAAAATTTAGAGAAAGTCCGACCTTACTTGCCAATAAGACTAAGAAGTGGTACCTTTAAGTGTTCATAATGATTTTGCCATTTCCTTGCCACTTCTAGACATATAGCATTCAGTCACTCCATGTCATGTGGCGGATGCATTAGCCAACCTGGGTTCATCAATTCTCTAGTGGCTCTAAATCAAAACAACAGATGGCTAATGATGCCTACAATTACCCTAATGGAGTAACTGATCAATCATCTCTCTCTTAAATCTGGAACATTACTGTTTATAGTGTAAGAATATATAATATATTCCACAGAGTGTATACATTAATGTGCTAGTCTCATGGAAATATTAGGGATTTTTAAAAATAATTCTCCTAATTACTTAGCAGTGGGGTATAAGAAATACAATAGATTAAGAAAACAAGTGGCAATGTCTATGTTAAACCGTTAATCCTCATACTGAGTCATACTGATTATTTTTTAATAAATATTCAATTTAATATCTCTGTTTAACGAAAAAGAAACTATAGAAGGTATTTAAATGCATAGTTACAAACACTAATGATTTTTTTAACTTTAGAACTTTGTACAGTACATGTATAGATCTATTTTCTTATAATCATACAATCTGAAACTTAGTGAAATCTTAGACCAGCTCATTCAACTTATTCATTTTACAAATGGAAGAACTTGAGACCAACAGAAATCACGTCTTTGCCCAAGAATGTAGCCATTGAGCAAGATCACAAATTCAGATCGCCCAACTCCTAATCACTTTGTTATGAGGCTTCCTTCTCATCTACTTGTTAAAACTTATAGTTTCCTCCTCATTTAGAGGAATAAGTGACCTCAAGCTGTTCTTTATATTGAGGTGAAATTATAATCATGTTTATATTGTTTTTAAAGGTCCTGAACCTCTTTCTGGCCTTGCTTCTGAGCTCATTCAGTGCAGACAACCTTGCTGCCACTGATGATGATAATGAAATGAACAATCTCCAGATTGCTGTGGATAGAATGCACAAAGGGATAGCTTATGTGAAAAGAAAAATATATGAATTTATTCAACAGTCCTTTGTTAGGAAACAAAAGATTTTAGATGAGATTAAACCACTTGATGATCTAAACAACAAGAAAGAGAGGTGTATGTCCAATCATACAACAGAAATTGGGAAAGACCTTGACTATCTTAAAGATGTAAATGGAACCACAAGTGGCATAGGAACTGGCAGCAGTGTTGAAAAATACATTATCGATGAAAGTGATTACATGTCGTTCATAAACAATCCCAGTCTTACTGTGACTGTACCAATTGCTGTTGGAGAGTCTGACTTTGAAAATTTAAACACGGAGGACTTCAGCAGTGAGTCAGATCTGGAAGAAAGCAAAGAGGTAGGATTCTATAGATGTGGGTAGGTATAAATTTTTTATATACAAGCGTGTATAATATTACCTGTACTTCTGATTTTATATTTTCAGTATAGAATTTTATTACCATCACATAGAATTCTATTTCACTGAAGATCCAAACATTTAAACCCAAGGAGATAATTGATAAATTGGAGAATAATATGGTATATATGTGAGTTTTGTCATCCTTAGAAATGCATTTTAATAAATAATATATGAATGAATAAGTGAGTGAAAAAACGTTACCTTATTTAATCCTTATAACAACCTGGAAAGGAATGTGCCTAATTTTTCAGATAAGAAAACTAGCTTAGGTAACTTAAGGTCACATAACTATTAAGAAGAAGAGCTAAGACTTGAATTTAGAGCCTTTATCTACAAGTCCTGTGTATCCTCCACTGCACTGGCTCTCTTACATGGAAGAGAATTTAACAACAGCAACAACAAAAAAGATGTAAGATGTTCTCGGTTCAGACAGTACTCTCTTTAGCTCATCTAACAGGAAATATTCTGTGTAGCTCCTCCTGTTAAAATTACATTGACCTACTTCATGCTCTGTGACATTTTATATCTTGGAACATTGCCTTAACTGAAACTTTAAATGTTAGGTTGGTAGAAACTTTGGAGATAATTTAATGCAATGTTTCTCAGGTTGTGAATTGTGACACAGTAGGAGTTGAGAAACCCATTTATTGACCTATAAATATATTTATATTATTTTAATAAAATATATTCTGTTTGATTATGTCAGAGCCCATTGCATAGGGATAAATATTGGTACATGAAGCATTTTTTTTGCTGTGCTGAACTTTAATGCATGGTTTATCTAATTAGAGTGAACTCACTAGGTCCATGGGTGTAATTCCCAAAGTCCAGGAATTCTTAAGGTTGAGAAACTGTTTCAGTATTTGGAAGGTAGTGATCATGAAGCCTTCCCTACTACAGGCAGAACAGATTGCTTACCCTGGGCTCATACATCTTACAAAATACTGTACTATTTTATGATAGCTACTGGTGGCTCAGTGGTTAAGAGCTAGTCTGCTAACCAAAGGGTCAGCAGTTTGAATCTACCAGCCACTCCTTGGGAACCCTATGGGGCAGTTCTACTCTGTCCTAAAGGGTCATTATGAGTTGGAATTGACGGGTTTGGTTTAGTTTGGTTTACTTATAAGATTGACACAGTGGCTGCAGCAATGGGCTCAAACAACAACAGTTGTGAGTATGGAGCAGGACTGGGCAGTGTTTCGTTCTGTTGTATATAGGGTCGCTATGAGTCGGGACCGATTTGACAGCACCTAACAACAATAATGTATCTCTCCTTTTATGTTGTGGCCTACTTATATGTATTTGGTACACACCTTAGCATTCATTACTGCCAGACATCAATAATGCACAAAATAGTCGAATAGTAGATTTTTTACTATTGTTGTAAATGCAAAATGTTGGATAATGAGAAAGTCGATAAGTGAGGAGTGGGTGTATATCTCTTTTGGAATAACAACAATACATTACTAAAGTTCTTAGGAGAAAAATGCACTTGTTTTTGCTATGAGTAGGCCCCAGAATATTGAGTCAAATTGTCATTTGGGTTCTTGTAATTTGAGTCACGTTAATAACAGCTATCATTTGTTCAGTGCTCACCATAGTCAAAACACTGTTTCAACTTTGCAGTCTTCACACTCTGACATAGGTATTATTATTCTCATCTTACAGATGAGGAAATTGAACGTGAAAAGTTTATTAACTTGCCAAAGCCACACAAATAGCAAGTGGTTGATCATGGACTGCAATCAATCCAGTCAGTCAGCTAGTCGAAGCTCTTAACCACTACACTAAATCTCCTTAATGATATCTGAACCTTTACTTTCTTGGCTTGTCTTTGAAATAAATGATACTGTTATTTACTCATTAATTATAGATGTCAACTACAGAGCTAGCATTAACTATAAATCTCCCCTCTTGAGGACGTAGGTAAACAAATGGCTTGGCCAGAAGTGTCTTGGAGTCCTCCCTCTCAGTCCTAGAAGTTCACTTCCTCCTGTACTGGGCTACACTTAAGTCTGATACTTCTGGACCCCACACTGACCTGGGGAGGCAGGTTGTTTTCTAATACTACAATCAATATTCTAACTACAGAGCACTTATTCTCCCCAACTCTGGTTACACGAAGTTGTGTTTAAGGAACATCGTCTTCTGAGTTTAGAGCTACCTGGAAGAGTCTTCCCATTATTTGGAAGCACTTCCATGATTACATCGTAATTTGGGAGGTCTTTGAGGCCAGGGAAAACAGTAACTATGTCTTACCTTAAGTCTGAAGCTCATAACAAAATATTTATGGAATGAATGAATAAATGAGCAATAAGCCATCATTTCTAGTTTCCCATTTGTTTTCCCAATCATATTACCTGTTTTTTTTTTTTTTTTTAAATTACTTACTGCCGTACTGATGTTTTGCCATTTAATGCTTTTTATCCTTACTATGTATGGGTTAAGGAGCATGTGACGTTTTTCAATCTAGGCACATAATGCTGAATATCAGCAGACTAAATTTGTGTTACAACAGAAGGCTCTAGAGTGAAGCCCTTATATGGGCGATGCCAATTTTAAAATGTATTTGAGGGCAGGAATTATGTCAGTTTCATTCACCGCAGTGCTATGGATTAAATTGTGTCCCCCCAAAATGTGTATCAACTTTGCTAGGCCATGATTCCCAGTATTGTGTGGTTGTCCACCATTTTGTGATCTGATGTGATTATCCTAACCAAAACCAAATTCGTTGCTGTCAAGTTGATTCCAACTTATAATGACCCTATAGGACAGAGTAGAACCTGCCGCATAGGGTTTCCAACCAGCAGCTGGTGGATTTGAACTGCCGACATTTTGGTTAGCAGGTGAACACTTAACCACTACGCTACCAGGTGATTATCCTCTGTGTTGTAAATCCTAACCTCTATGATGTTAATGAGGCAGGATTAGAGGCAGTTATGTTAATGAGGCTGGACTCAATCTACAGGATTAGGTTGTATCTTGAGTCAATCTCTTTTGAGATATAAAAGAGAGAATCGAGCAGAGAGGAGAGGGGCTTCCTACCACCAAGAAATAAGAGCCGGGAACAGAGCTTGTCCTTTGGACCTGGGGTCCCTGTGCTGAGAAGCTCCTAGACCAGAGGAAGATTGATGACAAGGACCAGAGCCGACAGAGAGAGAAAGCCTTCCTTAGAGCTGGTGCCGTAAATTTGGACTTCTAGCCTCCTAAACTGTGAGAGAATAAACTTCTATTTGTTAAAACCCTCCACTTGTGATATTTTTGTTAGAGCAGCTCTAGATAACTAAGACACACAGCATACCCAAAATTCAGCACAGTGCCCAATCAATATATGTTAAATAAAAAAAATAAGAACAAGAAGGCTCTGATTAATCTTGAATCAAAATAGATATATACCAAGACTTCTGCAAATATCCAAATTCATGAACACCACAGTAATATACAATTTTCCCCATTGTAAAACATCGGATAATACATCTGGGGAAATTGGGTCTGAGAGATGGATGTGTTTGCCTCCAGCTTTTCTTAAACTTCTTCCTCTTTCACAGCCTCAGGGTCAATGATCCATTAATTGTTGCCTCTATCCTGCATTACCTTATTGCTTCTTTCTAAACTTCCTTCTAAGCTTCTATCAGAAGCTTGTATACATGATCAAGATTTTCTAATCCTAAATGAAATAAAATAATAAAAATTGAAAATATTGTTCCTTTGACCTCAGCTCTTCCCCATTTCTTTCCTAATTATTTCCTTGAATTAATTGCCAATCCTCTTTAAAAGATAAACTATACTCACTGTCTCCTATTTTCCACTACTCAGATACCTTGAAATTTCTTTTACCTGGTTTTCATCTCTCTCTCAAAAATCACCAGTGTTCTCTTATTACCAAGTTCAGTGACCCTATCCCAGTTTATGATCTGAAATATTTGCCAGGTCTTAAAGTTGTGTCATCTCTGGCTTCCAAAAATTCAGCCTACTTTCCTCCTAGCCATCTGGTCTCTCTTCAGATAACTGTAAGGAGTCTGAAACTCATTCTCAACTTCTCTTTCTTAATTGGAAGCCCTCTCATCTAACTCACTGCCAAGTCCTGTAGATTCTACCTCCTAAATCCATCTCCAATCTCCACTACCACCTCCCATCCAATATTTCACCAATATTTTGAATGCAGCTTTTCCTCGGGGGATGGGGAGGGGAGTGAAGGAGGAGAAAAGAAAACAGAATTTTCATATTGCAGGGCATGCTTTGTAGAGTCCCATCTGGGCACTGACTGGGTTTGTCCTTACCAGCTCCTGCCTATTTCCTTGTCTCTATGAGATGGTAGCTGATGAATCCATAATAATGAGCATAATGAAATATATTTCTCAGTTTCTGTTTCCTGTCTCTGTGAAGAATACTACCATCTACCGGGTGCAAACCCCAGCTCCCTCTCCCTGGCATCTAATCCATTATCAGGTGCTGCTACATCTGCCTATCCTTGTCCACTTCTCTGCATCCCCTCTGACTCAACCCAATGTCAGACCCGCATCATCTCTCCATTTCACTGCTACACCTTCCAAATGGGGGTCCAACATTACTATTGCCCTCATTAGTCCAATTTGCACACAATGATAAGTGCTCTTTCCAAAAGGCCAATCTGGTCATAGCTTGTTCCTCTTTCTAATCTTTCAGGAGCTCCCCACTGCTCTGAGGATGAAGTCTATACTATTTAATGCAGCCTACAAGGCCATACCCTCTCCAGTTGGAATACTGTTTTCCTCCGCTCTACTTCACCTGACTCATACCCACTCAATTCATCCTTCTAGTCCCAAATGCCACTTTCCTCTTCCTTGTTCTTCATACTGAGTTAGGTGTGTCCCTCTGTGTTCTCAAGACACTCTACACTAACCCTATCATGTTGTTGTTAGGTGCCATCAAATTGATTTTGACTCATAGCGATCCCA